CTGTCTCTGGGCCTGTGTCAGTGCTGGAAACAGCAGAGGGGCGAGGGCAGCAGCGTCCCACCTGCACAGGGCTGCGGCAGGCGCTGCTTCCCCCAACGGCACGCACCCACAGCATGAGGACAGCAGACGCCTCGGCTAAGAAGCTGCAGCTACACACCCTGCTGGTCACAGCAGGTGCCCGAGTCCCCCACCGTGTGATCTGGGCCAGAGAGCAGAGTCCCCATTTCTTGTGGCTTTTGAGCACTTCTCAGTATGTAACCCACAGCTCAGGCCTGGACTCGGAGAAGCTCTGCAGGCGGCTCTGCAGTGGTGCCCCCTCCAGACGCAGTGCCAGGGCACCCTCAGGGGGACAGGGTGGCCACTCAGACAACAGGGATGCACAGGCAAGGACGGTGCACTGTGCCCGACAACATTCTGCAAAGACTCAGGGCCCTCCTTCGGGGTGCGTCCGGTGGCCACGGAGATGCGGCGGCACCTCCGGAGGTGTGGTGAGCAGCCAGAGACACGGACCCCTCACCGCACACCTGGCGGTGCTGCTGACACCACTAGAACGAAGGTGGCACAAAAGCCACAGGAGGATGGAAGTCCCAGAGAACACAAAGAGCTTCCTTTGCACGAGAAAACAGACCCCCACATAGGGAGCGGAAATCGGTGTGAACTTACTCTGAGAAAGCACTTCCACGGTTTTAGATTCGAAAGTCCTTACAGCACTCTTATTTTCCCTTTGAAAACTTGCTCATTCTTGGGACCAGCAGTTAGCGTAATGGCTATGTTGCTGGACTCCCACGTAGTGGATCGCGGTTCGAGTCCTGGACCCGGTGGCTTAAAATTCACGCCGGGCGCGTGTGCATGCATGCCCAAGATCCCGAGAGGAGAATGGCAGAGAAGGGATTGCGGCGTGGCCATCCCCCCTGGGGGGTGATTTCTCGCTTTCTATCTCTCTGTCTCTCACATTGTCTGCCTGGTGAGTGCACGCACCCTATAGCAAAAAAACCTCTCCAAAAAAAAAAAAATAAAAAAAACAAAACTTTCTCATTCTTTTGGTTAAACTAAAAAGAATGAGAATTACGAATATATATTAGAGTGAAAATCCATCATTTGATCATCTCTCTACGATACTATGCAGTAAACCATGAAAAATCCCACCCCCGAGCCTGAGCAGAAATAAAAACGCCAGCACTGTGAACGTGCAGGAAGTCTGGACAGCCCCGCGGCCAGTACCCAGTCACCCTCACAGCTCTCCGCCAGCACGTGAACATGTAGGAAGTCTGGACAGCCCCGCGGCCAGTACCCTGTCACCCTCACAGCCTTCCGCCAGCACGTGGCGTCACCTAGACAAGGCTGAGCGCCTGGCCGAGGGCTGGCCATGAGACGGACGCGGGGTCAGACGCGGGCAGGAGGAGAGAACGGGGGGTGGGGGCTGCGTGTGGAAAAGCAGAGCAAACACGGGCTAGACAGAGAACAGGAGTTGGGAGAAGGGTGTCGTGCCGGCTGAGCCCGGCGCCCTGTGATCACTCCCACTCAGCGTGAGCACGCGTGCAAGTCCACATGTGCAGAAGAGTCTATAAGACGCCTGTGCACGGCATGGAGCGAGTGCTCATGATGACACAGCACTAATCCCGTTACAGAAAGAAATGGAAGTTCCGAGAAGGTGAGGAGAGTGCCAAAGGCCACACAGCCGGGACCAGCAGTTGGCGTAATAGCTATGTCACTGGACTCCATGTAGTAGATCGCAGTTCGAGTCCCAGACCTGGTGGCTTAAACTCACACTGGGTGCGTGTGCATGCGTGCCCAAGATCTTGGGAGGAGAATGGAGAAGGGATTGCGGTGTGGCCGTATCCCTGGGGGATGATTTCTCACTTTCTGTCTCTCTGGCGAGCGCGCACACCCTATAGCAAACTGCCCCCCTCCCCCCCCCCCCAAAAAAAAGGCCACACACCTAAGCAGTAACAAGGCCGAGGGCTCCGAGTCCCAAGCCCGTGCCCACTGCTGCTGCAGACATCCTCAAAGCACTTCTTCTTTTCAAATAACCATGATGGCTTCAAGAAGCCGATGAGTGATCAATACAAACGCAGTAAGTGTGTTCCCCTCCCAGGAACACCAGCTCTGACACAGATGCCCGACTTCTCCTTCCAGATCAACAGAACGGACTAGACAGGTGGGAGAGTCAGGAATGGGGGCTCCCAGCGGCTGCGGGGGGAGCATCCGTACCAGAAACAGCAGTGAGCGGGTGGGCTGAGCACACGGGAACATGGCAGCCTCCTGCGCGGCCCGGGTATACGGTCTGTGGGTCTGACCCACAGCGCCCACGGTGACAGCACACGGAGCTCTGCAAAATCCGACTCCGGAGCACAGCGGGCTCCCCTCTACAGTTACAACTTCCCAACAGCAGAGGCTCCATCAGAAAAGCACCTGAATGTGGGGACCAGCAGGTGGTGTGCTGGTTAAGGCGCTGGACACACCCACATGGCCGACCAGGGTTCAAGCCCTGAATCTGGTGGCCTGCTTTCTCACTTCCTCTCTCTCTCTCTCTCTCTCTACCTCTGTCTCTCTCTGGTTAAATTAAAAAATAAATGAATGAATGAAATAAAATAAATAATTAAAAAAAAAAAAGAAAGAAAGAAAAGCACCTCAATGTTCACGCCAGCCACCACCACTGGTTCTGACCCACTGGTTCTGACCCAAGCTGAGGACTTGGAAATACCGAAGTCATGACGCAGCCCTCCAGGCTTTGTCGTTGCTCACGACGTGGGGTTCACACAGCTATTACTCCAAGCAGGCCTGACCACTCGAGTCGTGCTAGAGACACAGTACCTCAGGGGGACAGCTGCATCACCCAGCCAAGCAAATGGGGAGCCATGGGAGGAAGGAGAGACAGCTAAAAGAAGAACTAAACTGTTTAAGAATCCATCTCAAAATATGGACTGAGTCAATGCTGGGAGAAGAGCCCATGGCTTGGTCAGATTGTCGGAGCTGTGGCGATGGCTGCAGACGGCCGAGGACCGCCTGGTGGCGCACGCGAGGCAGCTCCCACTTACCAGCACACACCGCGTGCCGGTGCCGTGCTCATCATCCACACGTGTGGACGATGGGAGACGCGGCACCCCGTGAGGGAAACTGAACATGGGTCTCGTGGAGTCCCCCGAAGCCGTGCAGTGAGCAGGCACGCCCGCTCGGTGCCCCACTGCACACAGGCAGGAACACCTGAGGGTGCGCGGGCGCCTACATCGATGCAGGCGGGGCCCAGCAGAGAAGGGGCCGCTGCACCAAACTGGT